ATTGAATGTGTACAGAGAATATTGTAACTGAGCATATGATTTAAGTTACTTTTCTCCGTTGGCTTTTTTTCCCCCGTACCTTCTCCAAATGTTGTATAATGATGTTAAATTGATTAGTGTTGTTATGAAACTAGACTGGTTTAATTTTAATTGCCAGGCGCTCCTAGTACTCACTCCCAGTTTATTTACCAGGTAGCGGACCTCCCGGTGAATGGCTTGAGGATGGTTTTCGCTTGCGTGACTTGAATACAGTCACTATGGGGGACTTGCCTGCTCGGTTGGACTGGTCTATCATGGGCTGCACTATTCTTCTCCGGGCATTAATAAACCTGTAACCAAGAAAGTAGAGTGAGTCATTCATTATTCCTTAAATAAAAACGGCGGGCGGGGGGGGGGGAGGAGGTGGAGGAAGAGGAGAAGACGAAGCACAGTGAGAGCAAAGCTAGATCTTGGCAAAATGGTTCTCTGCACCGATCTGCGCGGGGCTTCACGTGCCCCACAACCTGCAACCCCCAGTGACCTTTGAGTACACAGGCTTGGGGTTTCTGAGTTGATTCATGTTTGCCTGTTTTACCACAGTTGGACACTTCCATTTCATCTTTTCATGGGGGAATTAGCAGAGTTTTCAGGAAACAATACGAGCCACCACTCTTTTCAATTGCAAGGGGGGAAATTTGGCGTAGAGAGCAAGATGTTCATAAGGGCATCTGTTACCTCTCCTAATTAGTGACATTTCAATCTTATGTTCTCTGACTTCTTTTTTACAGTTTTTATCAAAACCTTCCCTACCTCTTGCAAACCTAATTCTATTTTAATGCCCACTATTAAGATAATGAACTGGGATGGCAGCACACCATCAAATGAGAGAATGTCTGGAGTTTATCACCACTAACTCACACTGCTGGGGACTTCAGAGAAACGCATTCCTTGTAGAGATTTCTTGGGTGGCTTTTTTTTTTTTTTTTTGGCTCTTTATGCAAAGTCTAAGGTCAAGGCGAGGTCACAGCTATATAGTAATTGAACTTACAATATTGCTTTCTCCAGCTAGACCTGGAAATTTATAATAAACATCTAATTAAGTCATTTAAGTGTCTTAATAAGGCTTATTTTTTACAATTTTTGCAGCCTCTCAAAAAGTGGCTAGCCACTGAATTCTTTTTTAAGTGGTTAGTACAAGCCCTACAAAATCAAGCTTGTGAAATTTCTAACTCTTAAGATCCATTTGTATTGTGTAACGCTAAGAATTATATATCAAATACAGAAAATGAGTGGGACATATTAGATTCTGAAAAAGTAAAGTGCTTTTAGTTTTCAACTCAGATTTGAATAGATGGAACATGAGCAGCACATAAAAAATACAATGAGAAGTTTAATAATGATTAAAGGGTCCATAGTCCGATATGAATTCTAGTTTGTAAGTCTGCCCACTCAGGAAGGAAAGTAGTTTCTAAAAAAACAAACCACTGAACACAGAGAGGGACAGATTTTTAAAATAAAAATACATGCTTCGTGACATTTTAAGATTCTCAATATCCTATATCCTTTTGTTCTTTTATTATCGGAAAAGTAATTAAAGTCAATAATGAAACTGGAATCTAACTAAAAGGGCACGGTTAGTTCTAACTCTTATTGGCAATATATATTATATCAGTTCTTGTATATGAAGTCCCCGAACTGGCTAATAAAAATATTTAAAACACAGATCTACAACAAATTGTGTTGCAAATCAGGTTATCATTATCTTGTATAAACCATGAAAATTGGAATCATGTGAGCAGAAGGTTAGATTAATTCTCCATTCTCATTATAAGCACAGGTGTAGCACAAACACCATGTGAAATAACCAATTAAAATGAAAAAAAAATCTGCTTTTTCATTAGCTGCCTTCACTGCATGACCAATTAGAAAATTATTTAATATTAATATTCCGCATATACCAAAAGTAATTTTCATAGTAACTAACATAGGTAAAAGAGCAAAAAAACAGCTCTTTTTCTACGGTTCTGTTCATAATCTGCAGGCTTTTAAAGGAAAGGAACTCTGATAACATTTTTTAAAAGTCCTTTTAAAAACATATTATTTTGTGGATATGATTTATACTATTCATCTAAAAATAGGAAGAGCACTTTTTAACAGATGAGAAGCCGAGGCTCAGAGAAATTAAGTGACTTATTTGAGGTCACATGTTACCCATGAGATGTTAATAACTTGCTGAATGACACACAGCTGGCAAATGGTAGTGAACACCCCTTCCCCCAACATCCTGACAAGAGCGTGGCCCCTACTGTGCCACCCATCTAGAATATTCTGAACTAAATAGATAGCTAAGAATGAGCTGGTTTTGAGCCAGTCACCACTGTCAACAACCCTACTGCTGAGTCTGGGAATAAGCATGACTGAACATTCTGTAGACTGGGGATTTTGATGACTGTACTGTTTGTGCATATGGACAAAGATAAGGCTGTGCATCAGAAGATTCAGTGACTTATCTGTATTCCAAAGCTTGCTTCCTTCACACTCATACATTCAGATTTCCAAAGACCAGTTCATAATAACCAACTTAGGTTTGAATCTATGACTATTAAACTCAAGGAATCATAGAAAAATTAAATCTCAGGTTTGAAAAGGGCTTTCACTGTCACCTAGGTTGGTCACTGACATGAATCATCTCTACGACATCCCCACCAAGTAGATAGGTAGCCTCTGCTGGATTGTTTCTAATAAAGCACTTGCCACCTCACCTGAAAGTGCACTCCAGCTATGGACAAGGTAACTATGAGAAGGTTCTGCATTACTTGATCTAAAATCCTTTCACCAGGACAACTCCTTGGGGGAATTTAAACGATTCTAATCTCACTTCTTCAGGATAGCCTTCAAAATTTAAAGTATAGCCATCATGCATCATGTCCCATAGGCTTCTCCTTAAGTTAAACATCCATGATTCCTTTTTGTTTTGTTTTGTTTTGTTTTGTTTTTGTTTTTGAGACAGAGAGAGAGAGCACGAGCACAGAGGGGAGGGGCAAAGGGACAGGGAGAGAGAGAATCTTAAGCAGGTTCCATGCCCAGCGCAGAGCCCAACGCGGGCTCGATCTCACCACCCTGAGATCATGACCTGAACCAAAGTTACGAGTCGGATACTTAAGCGACTGAGCCACCCAGGTGCCCCAAACATCCATGATTCTTAACAAGTTTCTTGTAGAATGAAAGTTCTTCTTGGGTTTTGAGTCCACTCACCACCTGGGCCATACTCTCTGCTCAGTATGCTGAGGTTTGTCTGTGTGCCTCTAAAGGTATTCAGGGGACATCATTAAACGCAGTTACTCCACATCTGCTCTGGTCCCCAGAGTAGATGAGTGTAGAGAGTGAATACCTCATGAGAGTGATGTACTCATGTAGAGAGTGAATACCTCATCACAACCTTTTAGCTAAGGGGCCACAGGTACCAGGTGCTATTTTCTTCCCTTTTGGTGGCAAGAGCCATTTGTTGTTATTGACAACACAGATGTAGGCTACCTATAGGATATGTAGATATAAAGATGAGAATCCATGCATTTAATAAAATAAAGATTTAAAAAGCTGAAAATCTCAGAACCCCTAATCACTTTGTCCAAAGTGTTTTGACCACATTAGCAGTATGGTGATAACTTCTCACTTTTGAAAACGAATTTAAAACAATTGTTGAATATAATGAACATTATTGATACATAGAGGACATAGGAAACTCTCAGAATCTTACTGGATTATGCTTCCTATACTTACATGAAACACTGATAATATTATCTACGGTCATGGCAGACATCTTTATCTGAAAATAACTAAGTAAATAGCATCATCTTTTCAATTTTAAAACCACCTCAACATTTGGTTCTATTTAGTGTATTTTATCCTAGACTGTCTTCTATATACTCTCTTCGGAATTAGGCTACATACAGCAAAGCCATGTGTTTAGACGGCTTCGGGGTGAATTCAGATACAAAAACATTTTCCTTCTGGGCAAAGTAATAAAATGACATTCTTGCTCCTCCCACTATAAGTCAAACAGAGGTCAGTTCCCCCATCCCTGTATCTGTTTAAATAAACTGGACCAGCTGTTTGTTTCTAAAATGCCCTTTGACCTTGCGTCTCATCCTCCCTGCTTTTGTGACAGAATGCTTTACTTTCCATTGTGGAAGATTCTAAATTATCAAGAATTTTCTAAACACTGAACCAAAAAAAGACCTTTAGGTTTTATGTAAACTTACATGAACATATTCCCTTCTTAAAACATTCATTTTGAGAAGCATCAGTAAAACAGTTACTTTAAGCTCATATGTGGTATGTGTGTTCAAATAGATATCTATATTTATGTATGGATACATAAATATATATTAGAACTTCAACGTAAGAAGAAACAATGTTTTTGAAGAGAAAAGAAAAAGAATGATAAAATTCCAATTCGAATGTCCAATAAAAAAATCTATTCTCCAACAACCACAAGACAGTTTAAGACAAAATATATCCATGAAATATACACAATCTTTATTATTTTCCATAATAGTAAGGTCTCTTTAAAAAGTTTGTTAAAGATGTAAGAGACTTTTTTTTCTTTTTTTTACAACTGATGTCCCAACATTACAGCCCTTGAAACTTAGATGTACACTGTCAGAAATATATGACAACAGGACAGTTCTTCTTACTCATTAAAATAGTTTCACACCTTACTTTAATAGAATGTAGCTCAAAGTTGCCATAAATTGGGCATTTAGAAAGGTAAACCTTTTAGGTTGGATGTAAGGTTGGGAAACATCCTGTTGCCTTTCCATATTACATTCCAAACATCAAGGTATATTTTTTTTTATAAATCCCATTTTGCTTTGAAAACACAATGTTCTTTTGTGAAGTACTTTTTAAGAACTGGACACCCTGTAGGTGGTAGAAGACTGAATTAGGGAAAGAATTCCTATCTTTCCTTTTTTCACAGCATCATGGGTTAGAATTTCTTCCCGTGACCAAACTATCCCCTTTCTCAAAACAAGATATTTTATCAAGAATGGGAAGAAAATGGATTGGCCTTATAGTTTCATTCCATGTCAACATAAACAGAGATGTATTTCTTTTTACCCAGTTAATTTGTTTAGGACTAGAATCCTACTAAGGGGGGAATGGGAGGTTAAAAGGGGAGCAAAATCTTCAAAAATCTGAGTCATGGGATCATCTCAAAATCGAATTTAATTCTTTGCATTTTTTAAATAGGAATCAGACAAGGAGAATGGGAGATGAATCCTGAATTATGCTAAAAAGAAATACAGGAAGTTTTCCTTTATTCTTTCTTTTCCTTGCCCCCTACATG